CTCCAGCCATGTGGAGCTGTAAGTCCATTAAACTTCTTTCTTTTATATATTGTCCAGTCTGGGGTATGTCTTTATCAGTGGCATGAAAGTGGGCAAATACAGAAGGTGTAATAATCTTTTAATCACTCAACACTGTAATGGACATATTTCTGTGTCAACTAGATTATCACATTTAATGGCTATTTAGAATTCCATTGCATGTTTTGACCATAATTTATATAACCAATTTCCTATTGATAGAAATTTAACTGTTGGGTGGCTCATGCCTGTAATTCCAGCACTTTAGGAGGCTGAGGCAGGCAGATCACCTAAGGTCAGAAGATTGAGGCCAACCTGGCCAACATGGTGAAACCTTGTCTCGACTAAAAATGCAAAAATTAGCCAGGTGTGGTGGCTCACATCTGGAATCCCAGCTACATGGGAGACTGAGGCAGGAGAATTGTTTGAACCTGGGAAGCAGAGGCTGCTGTGAGCCAAGATCATGCCACTGCACTCCAGCCTGGGCAATAGAGTAAGAAGTCCATCTCATTTTTGCCCTTACAAATGAACAATTAAATCAATGTCCTTAACTTATATCACTGTTCATTTGGCTAATTATCTTAGGATAAATTCCTAGAAGTAAAACTTCTGGATTTAATAGTTACATAATTAAAATTTTGATATCATTAAACTGTCCTCCGGAAAGATTAAATCAATTTACACATTGTGATGATCTTGTTTTTATTTACATTTTTATCATACCTTGGTGCATTTGAATATTCCTTCATATGTTTAGTACCATTGTATTTCTTTTATTTATTTATTTATTTACTTATTTACTTACTTATTGAGACAGAGTCTCATTCTGCCACCCAGGCTGGAGTGCAATGGTGCAGTCTAAGCTCATTGCAGCCTCCACCTCCCAGGTTCAAGCGAGTCTCCTACCTCAGCCTCCTGAGTAGCTGGGATTACAGGCAGCTGCCACTATGCCCATCTAATTTTTGTATTTTTAGTAGAGGTGGGGTTTCATCATGTTGGCCAGGCTGGGTTTGAACTCCTGACCTCAAGTGATCCACCCGCTTCGGCCTCCCAAAATGCGGGGATTACAGGCATGAGCCACCATGCCTGGCCTACCATTGTATTCCTTAATAAATTACTGGTTAATACTTTTCGCCCATTTTTCTGTTGAATAAATTTGTGTAAGTTTTTCTAAGTGTAAGGACACTTTATCTCTTATATATGTTACACATAAACTTTTCCCCTAGTGTATCAGTTAAACTTCTTCACGGTCATTTGCTTGTTTGTTTTGGCTAATCATTTTTGCGTATTAAAGTTTTCAATTTACACGTAGCAATTCTATTCGTTTCTTTCATCCTTCAGTATATATAATGGTTGTCATATGGGAGAGGATTAGGCATTTATGAAGAAGACAGAATCAGCCCGATGGGAGAAAGTTGCAACATGGCAGATTTTTACTAAAATAACAAACAACTTTCTCCTAATTAAGACTGTGAGATTCGGAATGCGCTGTCTCGCTGGTAGTGAGATCTCCATAATTAGGGGCTGTTAAGCATGAATTGCATGACCACTTGACAGTGATGCTGTGTGGGGTGAGGCCAGATGGCCTCTGGCATCCTTAATTATTTACGAGGTAGGTTTTTAATGGAATGCCAATAATGTAATTCAAATTGTTTTCCCCAGAGAACTTTTTTCAAAACTGCAACACCATGCAACATTTGGGGTTTCCAAGAGCAACTGGACCAAAGTTGATGTGGCTGATCAGGCAGCACTAAATAAAACGAGTTCAGAACCACTGCAAACCGTAAGAAAGCATAGCAGGAGATTGTTAGTGGTCATATGCTTGTCATTCATGAGTTTTACTTTAATCACCATGCATCACCTTCCAGCCACAGAAATTTCCACTAAACCGTACAGCCTCACAGGAGCCAACCTCTCATATCTGGGAATGCAGATGGATGTAGGCAAAACTGACTCCCTACCATAGGTCAATTGTGGGTGTGGCCAGGCTTTTGAGAGTAATAGAACAAGGTGGTGCCAGGTATGAGTACAGAAGCAAACTAGTATGTTGCTGGTATTGTAAAATTGGTAGACTGAGTTACATAAAGGAGAGGAAAGCTCTCACCAAGTAAGTCTTAGGATAGGATGAGGCTCCATGCCTCTTAATCCATCTGACTATATAGTCATTCTCTTTTTGACCTTAGCTTACTGCTGCTTGGTAGACAGAATTGGGGAAAATGGGGTCAAACTTAGACCTGGAAGAATGCTCTTACTTTCTATGAATAGAAAGTAATTGAATGAATAATTACATAATTGAATGAATTATTACATACATTTAATATATAATGAAACACTGCTATGTGCAAAGCATTGAGAATTCAGCAATGAACTGGAAAGATAGCAGCCACAGCCTAGTGGGGAAGTCACCTTTAAACAATGACATCGGCTGGGCGCGGTGGCTCAAGCCTGTAATCCCAGCACTTTGGGAGGCCGAGGCGGGTGGATCATGAGGTCAAGAGATCGAGACCATCCTGGTCAACA